AATATATCTAGGATATTGATGTCCATTGTTTAAATACTATAGAGAATAATAGAAAAAGTATATTCTTGAGGCACTTAATGTATAGAGACAATATGAGATGCTTGCTGATACATATGTTATTTAAAATGTTGCACTGATCTTTTTAAATGAAAGCAAGATATAAACTAATTAGTTGTGATCATTTTCATTGGCTAACTAAGCAAATTTAAACTGAGAGTCAAATCTCATTATCAGAAACGGTGTAGACTGTATACTATCTTTAAAAAAGATGTCCGATCATAACTGCCAAGTGGATTTTGGGCTTTAGTTGACAAAAGTTTTTTTTAAATCTGTGAATAATAACAAATTAATAATGACCATCTCATAGTTTTGAAAACCAGACGACAATACTTAAAGGAAAACACTTTCATTACAAAATAATATAACATATATCATTTCTACACAAGCCATTTTGTAATTTATTGCTATCAAACATGTCCATTCCAGTTCAATCTATAGCTGCTGTGATTTTCTAAAACTGTCCAAAAATGTAATTTTAACTTCCTTATAATATGACAACCTGAAGGTGATCTGTCCACCAATGTACTGAATGCCAATAGAAAGGGAGAGATGTCCGGAGTCTGGAGATGTTTCAGAAATGTTTGTATGGACACAGGTAGGAGAAGTGATTAGGAAAAGGCTACAGAACACTAAAGCATTGCTTACATATTGCTGTGTTCTTGTAATTACAAAACCTACTTACACCACTCTTTATCTTCATAATCATGTAAACGGCAAAAATACAACTAATTTCAGACATATTAAAAAAATAAAAGCACGTACCTAGCAGTTGATCTCATTTACTGTGGTAGTACAGGCCTTCCTTAGAAGGTGATTACATTATTAGTGTAAATGAGCTTGTTCATGGATCAGAGAATAATGATCATGAAGCAGGGAGTTGTAAGAAGTACGCTTAATTTGAAAGATACGACTGAATGAGTGCAGTTTGGCATATAAGTAAAAAGAAAATGAACATGAGAAGGCTTTGCCATAGAATGATGGCTTATATTGAAGGGTATGGACAAGGGATATTGCAATCAACATTTTATAATAACTTAGCAACCGGGGCTGTGGTAAATGTAATTGATTTTAAACACATTTAAAAAGCTTTCTCAGCTGACATTTTACATCACACATTTTAAATATTTCAGACAATAATTCTGCTATGAAATTCACAATAAAGCGTGACATAAGTTTATTGCATGACCCGTTAATGACAAAAGGTAGCTACATTTACGAAATACATCAAGAGATACGCTAATAGCTTAAACCACAGGCATATATAAATAATAAAGGAAAGTAAAAGGGTGGGGTTTCTTGTATGAACCAGTCAGTAGTCTGCAATGTTCCAGCCTGCACTCAAATTATGAATCAGCAATCACAGGCCAGTGGCTCACATGTCTCAATATATATTAGCTTGTAGTAATTCAGCATTTATTGACTTGCCTGCCTGATCACATGTTGGCTCCATGATACACTTCCAATTTGCATTAATATTAAGGTCTCTTATTTCTTTTATAATGTTATTTTTTAAGCTGCTTTTTTGTTGTTTGTAAAAAATAAATACATTTTAAAAAATCCAATCAATCTTTGTAATGTATCCCTCTATCTATTTGGCATTTGAAAAACTGCTGAGTCAATCTGACAAAAATGGTTACATTAACTGATCAGTTGATTCCACTGATATGTATGAACATTAGCAATGACATTTGACAATAAATGATTTACTACCCCCTGAGAAATAAAACAGCTATCCGAGTTCTCAATGTAGGATTCATTATTAATGAGACCTGATTGGTTCTGAATGTTATCAGTATAAGGCCACCTTGTGACATATTGAAAGGAGTCTGCTTTTAATTGGTCATTGACTAGTCAAAGACCAAAAGCAGCCGTGAAGTATTGTTTCCTTTAAAACAGGAGTTACAATTATTAACATAGTGCATTTATATTCATAAACGCATGTACACAAATTCTTAGAACAGGATGAAGAGCTGTTCCAATCCGTTGGCCCACCTTAACATAAGCAGACTACATAATTATTTAAAGCCGAGTACCAGGCAGATATAAAATACACAAATGATTGCAACTTTGTATTCAATAACATTTTATTAAATGCTTTCTTTTTAAATAAAACAGTAACTTTTAAGTGGCAGAATTTGACTCTGTATCAGCCTCTTGTCGCCCTGCAACATGCTCAATTGAAAGGAAATAACACTTTAAGGTGCTCTCCGGGCATTGATTGGATTGAAGACTGCCTATAGCAGTGGTGGCGAACCTATGGCACGCGTGCCAGGGAGGGCACGCGGGGCCCTCTCTGCTGACACACGAGCCCAGGTTCAGGGACCACCAATGGAAATAGATCCGACCAACCCGTATCCCCTCAGTACGCGATCCGGGCCAGTTACAATCAGGCAGTGGCGGCAGCCTCTAAACAGGCAGATTAGACGGCCGCTTCCTCCTCGCTAGGACCCCGGGAGGCCCCCGCGAGCAGCCGTCTAATCTGCCTGTTTAGAGGTCACCGCCGCTGCCTGATTGTGACCGGCCCGACTACAGAGGCGTTTTGGGACGTTCTGATCCCCCTTGAGAGCCACACAGCCTTTCCCCCTCCCCTCCTGAGAGCAAAACAACCTTCCCGGCCAATGTTATTCAACGGAGCTGTTCTAATGTACAGCTCCATGTCGCCGGTCACTCGTCGCTGTAGCAGGACCCTTTTTCCCCACGATTTTTCTATTTTTGAATGCAGCCCGACGGTGATGGTCGCGCGATCTTTGCTGAACAGTCGCCCCGAACAGTCGCGCTATCCCAGCCCCGCTTGTAAGGTATGCCGCTTGGTGTGAGTTGTATCCTAAGGCAGTGATGTTGAACGTTTCTTAAACCCGAGCGCCCGAACTGCAATACAGTACTAAACTTATTTTCAGCGCTGGCACTTTGAGGTAAATAAATTGAGTTTGCGTCGCAGTTTGGGCACTCGGGTTCAAAAAGGTTCGCCACCACTGACCTATAGCCTAATGCCAGAGGAAAAGAAAATGAACAACACTTTTCACATGACTGGAATTCCAACGTCTTAATTAGAATTGTCTTGGCTTTGCAACACAAAATCATGGCATATCAGAAGATTTAGGCAAATGTGCTGTTCAACTCGGTACTGTTTTGTTGCTAATACCTTTAGCATACAAAGTAAGTTGGGTTAGTTGTTTAAGGTTAATTCCAGGGGTAGGTTATCTGTTCAGGTTTGCGGGGAGAGGTTAACTGTTAGGATGATTATAAGCATAGTATATCATAGGTATAAGTGGTGATAAGTGGTAGCTGGGGTTGCCTGTTGTGATCGTTTACATTTATTTCTCAGTTATGCCAGGTTCCCAGCGCTGAAAATATAACCTGTCATTTAGTCCCATATAGCTGTTTCATTCCATCACATGGCTAGTGTGGTGGCATCCTTTAACAAATGTTATGCATGGCAGGGCAAAGCTGTCTGAATAAAGGTTGGAGATAATTGGCTAGAATAATTGAGTGGGAATCAGCTGCACCTGAGCCTGTGCCTCTGTGAGGTTCCCTAAAAATCAATTGAGTGCAGCATGGAAAACCATTTTCAATGGCTTGATGATCTGAAGCCATAAAAAAGAATGCAGCCATGAAATAAGAATACAAAGCATATGGCAATAAAACAAAAAAGTGGAGTGAAAAAATACAGCTGTGTGTTGTAATCAATATTGTGCAGTGGATCATTAGTCACCGTGAGAATATCTTTTATGGTGATGCATTAAGCTCGTCTGTTAAAACCTTAAATTGAGAAATCCGTCTCACTAACAATCCTGAAGGTAAAAAACATTACATGCAGTTTTAACTCACCACTACCCTGTTAACAGAATAAAGATCAGAACTGTAAAAAAAAAAAAAGAGTGCAAACAATAGATAGAACATGAGAACCAAAATGTGTTCTGTGTCCCCGCTGCGGCGCTCTCAGTATATCGCGGGCAATAGCCCCCTATATACTGAGCTTTGGGTCACGGGAGGAGGTTAGTATATGTCCTCCTGTGACCCTAAAGAGAACTATGGGGAAAAACACTTACCTCATAGTTCTCTTTTAAGCTGTCAACATATCAATAGATCTGGCTTGCTGAGCTTATGACTTAAACAGATGACAGATAAATATTTATCAGATTTTTCAACAAAAGCATATGATCAATTTTTAAAAACACCATACATGTCAATGTCCAAACCAAACACAAAGTACTCAAGGGGTGGAAGCAATAACACAGCAGGGCTGACTAAGGAAGGGTTTATTATATTCACTTAAGCTACTTTAATTTCAATTATCTGGTCACATGCAAGAGAAATACCTATTTTCTTTTTTTTAAATCCTCTGTATATGATTGGGTATTCAAAATTAACACAGGTTAATAAATATGGAATACTTTTTTACTCCTTTAGTAAATCAACTCCAGCAAACTCCAGCATACTTACTGGAATGTAGTAATTGTACAATAACATTTGCAATTCTAGCTGCTTAGTCTGATTTTTGGTTTTAATACCAAAACAGCCAGGTTAGAAAAATGTCCCTTTAAATCATCCATGCATTACAAAAAAAATAAAAAATACACCCTAAGTTATAACGCAATCACTACTTGTAGAAGCAACTTTCCGACATTTGACCCACTTTTAAATAACAGCCCATAGGTAGAGATGCTATTCTTATACTATATTGTTTCCAATTCTACCCACCTTTCCCAGTAACAGAAAACTTAATATAACTCTAGTCATTTTATACTAGATATAGTTATAGTTACCGTCATATTTCATAATAATCTGCTATTTTCCATTCTCAGGCTGTATTTTTCTCCCTCATCAAAACAGCAAATAAAACAGTCAGAGCTTCAACTGACATGGTAAATGGTAACTACATAGAATGTAATATAGTAGTACACTTCAGCTTAATAATGTAAAAGGTGATTCATTCTTACCTTCCCTAATCCAGGAGTATCTTTTACTTTGTTGACTGCTCTTAGCAGACATGGTGGTGCAGGTGGAGGACAAGTCTGCAGAATGCCACAGAAATTGGTTGGGAAAAGTGGAGGTTCGGACACTAATGAAGGCGTTGTCCTCTGCTTCTTCTTTTTGGAGGACAAATTTAATTTCTGAGCCGCCCTGTAAAAACCCATATTAGACGTTACAAACAAAACATGAACAACAACCCTTAAAATATTTATATTAGTAGCCATACGATAAGCATGTATTTCAACTAGGTAGTTATGTGGTTGCCAAACACCTGTTTGATAAAAAGGTGTGCATCTGAAATCTCATTTAGTAAGCAAATCCATCATCTCCCCAATGTATATGTCATTGGTTATGTTTCTTGCTTCCTTCCAAGTGCAGAATACAAGCTTTGTACAGCAAGACCCTGTTGTCACACTGGCGGTTTTATATAATTCCAATTTGTCATTTAATAAGAGAAGATATGATGAAATCACTTGAGCTATCCATGGTTATTATACATGAAAGTGGTCTGCAGCCATATGTCATTATGTGAAAGGATTCCATAACTTCTAATATCTTCCATTTCATTAAATGAAAAAAATGTAGGCTGGTATGAATAAACCCTCTTTAATTCAGTTAGTTGTTCATTAAAAAAAGTATAAATCATTTTTAAATAGTAGCTTATGCTATATGTGTAACAGCTTCCTGTAATCTCCTGACAGCTGAACACAGTCTGGAAGATAAAGGGGTAGCACAGTAAGCCAGACAGGCTTGCTACAATCTACACTTCTAATTAGGGATGCATCGATACCGGTATTTTGGTACCGAGTACGAGTAGCGATAATGTTTTTTCGTTACTCGCCGATACCAATTAGCAAGTAACGGAAGTCCCATTCAGGAAGCCAGGTGGCGTGTAATGACTCGCCACCTGGCTTCCCGATGAACAAAAGAGTCCCCTCTTACCTTAGTATGTGCAGCCTGTCACCCCCGGGGCCTCTCCAGCCAGAACGCGGCCTTCGTCCGGTACCCAGCCGGAGCCGTCTGGCCGGTCAATCAGGAAGCCGGGCGCCGTGTAATGACGCGACGCCCTGCTTTCTGATTGGCTGGGAGGCCGGCTCCATGCTCTATTGTCATGAGATGATTGGTCAGCTTCCCGGCCAATCAGAAAGCAGGGCGTCACGTCATTAGACGGCGCGGCCGGCTTACTGATTGGACGGCTCCGGCTGGGTACCGGACGAAGGCCGCATTCTCGCTGGAGAGGCCCCGGGGGTGACAGGCTGCACATACTAAGGTAAGGTAACCTTACCTCACGTGGCCAGCTTCCCGACCAATCAGGAAGCCAGCCCGGCTTCCTGATTGGCCGGGAAGTCGGCTCCATGTTCTCTCATCATAAGTGACGAGAGAGCATGGAGCCGTTTTCCGGTCAATCGCGAAACCGGGCAGCGTGTAATGACGCGCTGCCCGGCTTCCTGATACCAGAAGTACTCGTGCTAGGCATCGGAGCATTTGGGCGAGTACGAGCCCAAATACTCGGAATCGGCACTGATATCGATACTAGTATCGGTATCGGTGCATCCCTACTTCTAATAATATAACACTAGAAGCTTGCTTAGAGGATGACCTTTCTAGTTTGTTGCTTCTCTTTAACTATCCAATCCCTTGGCAGACTCTACTGCCTAACTACAGTAAAGATAAGAGGGCTCAGTCAATAAAGATTGACATGGCGCCTGAATCACAAGACTAGCAAAACAAATGGCAAACGCACTCATCAATTTGTTACCAGCTTTACAGCAAGGTACACACAGAATGGGCTTTAAACTGTAATAGCAAAAAGTTTCCCAGCACACTCACAAGCCAGCATGCAAAAAAGCTTGTCTCACAGCTAAGGTTAAAAACAGAGGTTTAGATACACGTGTATCCCAGCACACTCACAAGCCAGCATGCAAAAAAACTTGTCTCACAGCTAAGGTTAAAAACAGAGGTTTAGATACACGTGTATCTAAACCTCTGTTTTTAACCTTAGTTGTGAGATACACGTGTATCTAAACCTCTGTTTTTAACCTATTCTGTGAGATACACGTGTATCTAAACCTCTGTTTTTAACCTTAGCTGTGAGACAAGTTTTTTTGCATGCTGGCTTGTGAGTGTGCAGGTAAACTTTTTGCTATTTTTGAATCACAAGCCTGACTAAACTAAATTCATAATCTTATTGAAGGTTACATAGTTTACACATACACGTTCCACTGTAAATATATAGAATAATATACAAAAATATGAGAATTACAAAAGATAATAAGTATCACTTCTTCAAAATACATTTTGGCTAAACTAAATTACTATAATATCACAGCAAAAAGATCTGTGTGTTAATATAAGTGGATACAATGAATGCTATTGACCTATTAACCCTGGACATTTCAGCATCAACTGTATTCCATAACAGATAACAGCACACCTCTACCTTACAGTTTGATGCTGCAATGTTTACTTAACATGGCTTTCTTACTAATACATACAGCACAATTTAATAATGTTGATAGTTGAACTAGTACAAAGCATTTATTATTCACAGGTCAACTTTACAATTCTTTTGGTGGTATGCTACTATTTTCACACATTTTATATTGATTTGAGTGATGTCTAATGAGATGAGGTTACAATGTAAACACTGCATACAGTCAAATATAGATGTTATTATTGTTTATGCAATGTCTACTAATCTACATGCCATAAAATAAAAAATATTTTAAATGTCCATATATATTTACTTTCAATTAACGTATGTTAATTTAAAAATATACATTTAGCTACTAAGAGTTTCTTGATACATTGTAGTGTATAATCATGTTCTTAGAGAGAGAAGGTAACGTGTTGCACTGCAGTGTTATTTCAATTCAACTCCTTGTAAAAACGAAGAAAAAACACAAATATGCAGCCTACAACTCCACCACACGGCCAAAGTCCTTATTATATAATCATACCACCAAACACAAGAGAATACTTTTTGACTACAACGGACCAAAATCTAGGTTAAACAATATAGACATATAACAGAAAAACTATAATAAAAATCAAAAAAGCTAAAACTATGTCTCCTTCAAGACTATTTATTATAAACTATTTTATGTAGTCATGTCTTGTCAACTTATATCGAAACAACAATGCTTAGCGATTCTTAATGATTCTAAGGGAGTTCCCTCACTTGATCCATAGTTGTGAGCAGTCACCAAGCCTCTTAATCAGTTTGAGTGCATGCTGAAGGGAAGAGTTGGTTTGTTTAAAGTAGAAAAGGATATCATTAGTGTGTATATAAAGATTCTGTCCATTAACCTACCCCCATTGCTAAACCCATAAAATGTCAGGATTCCCAGAGCCTCATGGTCATGGGTTCTATGTCAAGAGTCAATAGAAGTCAATAGAAGTCAAACATTTTCATTTATTTTTACCTTAGCTCTCTACATAAAAATGTCCATTACACTGAAAAAAAGGCTTTTCTCAGTCTATGGTTATGTTATCAGTACAGATATTAATGTCAGTACCTTTCCCAATCATACATTTGGATTGATCAGGATGGATTATTTTCTAAAATAGTTATTTTAAGCAGTGACAAGAATCCGTGCAAGAATTTTAGTGTCCATATTTATTAAAGAAATGTATTCTGAGGATTTTACATCAGTTTTCAAATCACAATACAAATGATCCTAAAACCACTGTCATAATTTTATGCCCATGTATAGCCACTCACCCAATCTCTATATATTATTCCTTGGCAAAACAGTGTTTCCACGTGTTCTAAGGCAAAAAAACCCCAATAATTTTAAGCAACAGCGTAAAGGGTACTGGTGAGCCAATTGATTTGCAAATCAGGTAAACTGGCTAAAAACTCAATTTATCCCTACCCATAACACTAACCAAACATATTGCGTACATTGAGCCCTAACGGTGAATTAAACCACATTCAACAGGACATTTTCTGTAAAGTTAAAGACGTTTTACCAACTATGCAAGCTTCATCTGTTAAAATGAGTGTCAGGGACATACCCCAGCATTTATAGCTCCACAGGTAACTCAATCACCCTAATCCAATCACCATAGTGCCATGAAATATGTCAAGACAGATGCTGATTGTCCAAAAACATATTGGGGTGTTAACATTTCTGAAACAGAGACTCCATGTGACCTTGGCGGGTATGTTTCTGACACTCATTTGAACTGATGAAGTGTAGGAAAATGTCTTCAACATTAAAACAACACGTCCAGCTGAATGTGACTAACTACTAGTTATAGCATGACCTGGATACATGAAAACCTTCACAGACAATGAAGTAAGCTCTTGCTCTGTACTCTTATCTTGTCCTGTACAAAAGGAGCAGCCATGCTGAATCCTCACAACTCTGCTCTAAAAGATACTAGCACTGAGACGTGAGTGCTGAGAATGACTAAACTGTGCTTTTGCTCTGATGCATTTCCGCAGTGCGTTTGGTGCCAAATCATATCAGTAAGCTTTCTTTAGGGTTGATATAATCAATGTCCTTCAGAAAAAAAACAAATGTTCTATTATAATTAGGTGGCCCAATGATTAGAACTGCAACCTTGCAGTTCTGGCTTTCTGAACATGACTGTAAGCTCCTCTGGAGCTGAGATCTCTTCTGGAGCTATTCAATAACAAAAACTAACTGTGCACCAAAGGAGCTAATACATGTTGTCATGTGCAAGTAGTGTCTATATGCAGCCCTATATCTTCATATTTAAGATGCATAGCTTGATCTACTATAGGTCCATATTTACACGTGACAACAAAACTAATGCGATAAGTACCTGTGTCATAGACACAGCAAATCAGTGCCAATTCTAAAAACAAACTTTTACAGAAGCATACAAAGGAAAAGACACAATATTCTCACAAAATCTTAATTTTAATGATATTTGAAGTTGAACAAAGTATACAGAGTATGTCAAACAAATAATTATCAAGCAAATGAACTTAAAATGCTCTAGTGAAAAGAAATCAGACCGGTAACATTAAGATAATATAGGACAAAGTCAGCCACATATGTTTCTAAATAAGTTTAATCAAATCTGAGTCAAGCATTTGCCAATTAGAGCCCAGGTTGCCTAGCTACAAACTCAGCAACAGTAAGCAAACAGCTTTATATTGCTCATAAAAGGCA